AGAAAGATCGTTTTCCTTCTCTATACGGCAAATAAAAACGTATTTCATTTTAATACTGCGGTCAATTTAATATAAGATTCATGCATTTTAAGAGAAATGTTATTATGTGTAGAACTAAATATTTTAATTATTCCAAATTAATGAGTATTATCTTAAATTTATCTCTTTCAGAGATAGATTTTAAAAACAAGAATACCTGAACAACGCAATAAAACAAAGCAAGGACAGGCACAACGAGGAAGTCGCTTGGCAACAGGTAACTGTAGCTGGTGAAGACTGTGTAATTCAATTTCACAGAATTCAAAGGCAAATTTGAAGTAATATATACACGGATATTAAATATAATGCAGGTAACAGAAGCCTAGGGGGCTGATGGAGCAGCAGCCCCCGCCCTTTTCTTATATGACTTTAAAAATAAAAGTTTTTATTTTGAGCTAATAAAAAATAAAACAAAGAATACTAAATTAAAGGCTCGCCATAAAGAGCCTAATAAACATATAATAATAAAGTATTAATGAGTGGTAGTATTAGGTGACGGACAGGTTCTCCCTCTATCGGTTAAAAATGGATTAGGACCGATCAACTGCTACAATGTAATTGATAATTCATAAAAATCGTCTTTGTATGCGAGCCTAAGTTTTGCATTCAGTATTTTATTAAGTATATGCACTTCGAACACCGGGTGTATATCGCAAGTCTGTTCAACTTGCTAGAACTTAATTGTCATTTTGTAAACAAGTTAAAATTGTCGGTACTTTGTGACATTTATCTTACTTCTAGTTTTGCTTACATCTCTATCATCTTGATAACTGTATAATTGATATAATATTACAAACAAATTACACACCATTTTGATATGATAAAAGTATGCAGTAGGTAATTTATCAGTAAATCTGATTGAGCTAGATCCACATACGGTGCCAGTAGTGATGTTGAACATAATTGAACAAATAGGTATACCACTCATTCAATAATACTGTTACGTCTCCGTTTGTTAATTAATTTTCCGTAACTTCGTTCCGACGAAACTTTAGCGACACAAGTCCTTTCTTAAATAAAAGTGGTTTATTCTTTCCGAATACAACTTTACGATACACTTAATTTCAACAGTCGCTCTATAACAACACTATAATTCACGTCTCACGAGGCCAACGATATTTTGTCCGCATACATTCAATTACTCAATACACTGTACTCTCTGACTGCATTTCAATTACTCATTACCTACACATTGTCCCGTCACGTTGTGACCATTTTATATATACCA